TCTCTCTTTCGTCGATATTCAAAATCCAAAGGGGATCGTCCGCTGAGATGGCCAACTATCGCCTCCTGTTTCAAGAGAAGGAGCTGAATTAACTATCTGACGAGTAGCAGAAGGTGGGAAAGGCACTTGGGATATGCATTTTCGGCCGACGATCAAAGTCGTAGATGAGCATTCTGGATCGATAGTTGGCTACAGGATATCAGGTCAGGGCGCCCTCCATTCCCCATTCCCCCATTCATGTCTCGGCAGCGTGGAGAGTATGTACTGCGAGTGTGGTCTGACCGAGTATCACCCAGTGGTCCTTCCTGTCGCATACCACCCAGGCTCTAACTAATATAACTCCGACATGGGCTACTATACGTGGAATTCGCTCTTTAGGCATGCCTTGTTATCTTTTCAAATAGACTGAATCGAATAACTAGCAGAACTTCTCTGCAGAGTACTCATACTCAGTAGTAGGCTGGTAGTTGTATGTATAGATGTGTCTCGCTGGGCAACGGAGGAGTAACACTATCAAAGTCCGCGGGAAGAAACCGCATACAAAGCGCATCTATCTCACCCTGAATAGCCGCCATAAAGGACTCCCATGCTATCAAAGTCTTGCCCGCTTGTCCCTTGTAAACGAGCCTGTCCAACTGCCGGGATCTGCGCCCTTCGTATCGAGATCGCCCTCGGGTGCTTCGTTCCCTTAGCTAACTAAATACCTAGGTACTAGTTGACCGGCTAGTTTACTAACCAAGTCCCCTTCGCATTATCCTTGCCCGGCCTGTCCTTCTCCATCCCCCGCCGCAAGCATCAGTCAACCCTTACACACGCCGCTGCTTATATTACTCTCTTCCGCAGCCCCGCGTCCAAGCCGTCTTCTTTTCCTCCTTTTTGATTCTTTTCTCCTATCAAAAGTTGCCCACCATAGCTTCCATATTCCGCCGTCTTTTTGGCTCTGTAGCCAGCCAGTCGCCAGCCAACATGTCTGCCGCAAAAGTGAAAGCCGAGAAAATCATCGCCGAGAACGGCGTGGGTGAGTCGAGTCTCTTTGAAATCAAGCAGATAGAATAGAGATGGAGAGCTAACGTCTGGTGTGCCGTAGTTGTCTTCTCCAAGTCCTACTGCCCTTACTGCAACGAGACGAAGGCTCTGCTCAACTCCAGGGGAGCCAAGTTCTTCGTCATGGAACTCGACAAAGTTGGTACGTTTGGCTGCCCATGGTAAATTTATATATAAAGATGGTATAACAAGGGGAGGGAGGCTGAGACTGAGGCTGACGGTGGATGATAGATGACGGCTCTGCCATCCAGTCTGCTCTTCAGGAGATCACCAACCAGCGCACCGTTCCCAACATCTTCATCAACCACCAGCACATCGGCGGTAACTCTGACCTCGTTGCTAGGTCTGGTCAACTGACTGCCTTATTGAAGGATGCCGGTGCCATCTAGATAGCCTGCGTCCATGGCTATGAAAGTGGTTATAGACATGTCTCCAGCACCGTTCTTGTCTCTGTAGGATAGAAAGACTTGATTCTACATAGGGGAATGAGAATGCGGATAGACTAGTTCATGTATTTATTTAGGAGTGTGTCAATCGCTGGATTCCATCTAGCGGCTATAGTACATATATATAAACATGATTCCCCCCAAAGTGAGTAGAAATCATCCCATCTGTAAACGTACACTCGACCAGCTCTTAGTGAAAAGAGAGCCCGATCAGACAACCTTCATCTCAACTGTACCGATCGGCCGGCCAACGATAGCCATCATGCCGTCAACGATATTCTTCCTTGCACTCTCGCTAGCCACGGTCTTACCAGCAAGATAATTCAACCACACCAGTCGTCCGATACGCTCGTCTCCAACCCTACCAAGCCAGGTCATCGGTTTCGTCTCGCCAGGCTGATACACTATCCCCATTCCTCCAAGCTTATCACGAAGTAGAAGCAAAGTCTGACCCTTGGGCACATTCTTTCTTACTCCTCCGCCTAGCAGTGTCTTAAACTCGGCCATTGCCGTACCGAACGAGTCATCATTGAACTGGGGTTCAGCAGAAGCATCAAGTTGCTTAGCCTGAGCGTTCGCCTTTTGAGCTCGGGCAGTGATGGCTCTCACCCACCCGTCACGTAGATGCAGGAAATCTGTGTTTCGAGTAGGCACAATTCGGAAGATGGTACGGATACCGCCCTGTCGAAGGATATGATCCATTATCTGCTCGCCCTCCTCGGCTTCGAGAAGAGAAGCCTGCAATGCCTCGCGCTCATGCGGTACAAGGGATGTAGCCGCCAGTCCGTCATCGGTAGGAGGAACGCCGGGTACGACTGGGTTCGCACCATGTCGAATAAGTCGAGCCTGGAGCTCGGGAATATCTGCCGTGGCTATATACAAGCCAACAACATAGACTTGAATGCTAAGGAACGAAACCGTACGTAGACCCAAGCCGAGAAGCTGATATTCGTCTGCCGATTTGTCATTCACATTATCTGTAACGGGTAATTCATCGCCGATTTTCAGATCTGGATTGTTGCCGTCAACGGTCCTGGGTAACCGAATCGTTTTGGGGAAGTTAGGTATCGTTGAGTTTCCCGTTGGAACCTGTTCGATGCCATCGATGATCACAGTGGTGGACTCATTAAGTGCCATGCCAGCCGGTGGCCCCTCAAGCTTGATTTTCCCATCACTCTTTGCCTTCGCCGCTGCTGCCGTCTGGTCCTTTTGCCCATTGCTACTGTCCGCACCGGCCTCTGCTTGTAGTCCGTCTGGGAAGTAATATGTCACAGTGCCGTACATGGCAATAGCACACGCAATCAGGCCAGCGGCAGATATGGCCATTGATCTCTTATGCTGCACATGCTGGTCACGCGCGGCATTGGTGGAATATCGCACTTCTTCCCTTGCGCCTGTCTTTGTGGATGTTGCTCGAAGGCTGTGGGACGTTGATAGCCATCGAGGCTGCTGGCGAGTGAGATTTCGTCGAGCGCATTGTGTGAGGTATCGGCGGATAGGCGTATGGAGGGAGGAAGGGAGGGAACTCATGGTTGCGGTGGTCAATTGCTTTGCTTTCGGCAAGCTGCAAGTAGATGTCAAGCTGGGGTGGGCTTGCTGACCTTTTAACTAACTTGGTTGTCCGGGAAAAGTTACCTCGTCAGTGTTTGTCATGTTTGCACAGTTAACAAAAGTTCCCGTAGCGAGTGTCTACTTTACTCGGCGCTACACTACTAGACACGAAGATGAAGAAGATGGAGACGAAATTTATTTGAAAGTTCATGTCAATTAAAAGCCGGTTTTGTATCTAATGTGATGTGAAGAGGGGGAGAGTGGTATTTTCATAAGTTCTCAAATGCCCGCAAGAAAAAAACACCTGGGGAGGAATAAGAGTAAGGAACCAGCATCTCTTTTTACTTTCAAACATCAAAAACCCTTTTTTTTTGTTCATCACCATCGTAGTTGTCATTACATCAAGAAGTAGGTGGGATGATTTACTTCTTGCCAGCCTTGGCAGCGGACTTGGTGACCTTGCCAGCACCACCAGCGGCCTTATCAACAGCCTCTGTAAAGATGTATTAGCATATGCACAACAAGGGAAGTGATTAGGGTGGAAGGTAGAGGAGAAACTTACTGATGACACCGACGGCAACGGTCTGTCTCATGTCACGGACGGCGAAACGACCAAGTGGGGGGTAGTCAGTGAAAGCCTCAACGCACATGGGCTTGGAGGGAACCATCTTGGCGATGGCGGCATCACCAGACTTGACGAACTTGGGGTTGGCTTCGACGGATTTACCGGTACGGCGGTCAATCTTCTCGAGGAGCTCAGCGAACTTGCAAGCAATGTGGGCAGTGTGGCAGTCGAGGACTGGGGCGTAACCGGCACCGATCTGGCCGGGGTGGTTGAGGACGATGACCTGAGCGTTGAAGGAAGCACAGCCGGATGGTGGGTCGTTCTTGGAGTCACCAGCAACGTTACCACGGCGAACTTCCTTGACGGAAACGTTCTTGACGTTGAAGCCGACGTTGTCACCAGGGACACCCTGGGCGAGCTGCTGGTGGTGCATTTCGACGGACTTGACTTCAGTGGTGACGTTGGCAGGGGCGAAGGTGACGACCATACCGGGCTTGATGATACCAGTCTCGACACGACCGACTGGTACTGTTCCAATACCGGAGATCTTGTAGACATCCTGGAGTGGGAGGCGGAGGGGCTTGTCGGTAGGACGGGTTGGCATGTCAATGGCATCAATAGCCTCAAGGAGGGTCTTGCCAGACTTGGCACCACCGGCCTTGGTCTCCTTGTTCCATCCCTTGTACCAGGGGCAGTTGGAGGAAGCCTCAATCATGTTGTCACCGTTGAAGCCAGAGATTGGGACGAATGGAACACCCTTGGGATCGTAGCCAACCTTCTTGATGAAGTTGGTAACTTCCTTGATGATTTCCTTGAAACGGTCCTCGGACCAGTTGGTGGTGTCCATCTTGTTGATGGCAACGATGAGCTGCTTGACACCGAGGGTGAAAGCGAGCAGGGCGTGCTCACGGGTCTGGCCATCCTTGGAGATACCAGCCTCGAACTCACCAGTACCGGCAGCAATGATGAGGATAGCGCAGTCAGCCTGGGAGGTACCAGTGATCATGTTCTTGATGAAGTCACGGTGACCGGGGGCGTCTACTCTCGTTAGTGAAAAGTACGATTATTATGGGGGAGAGCAAAGAAAACATACCAATGACGGTGACATTGTACTTGGGGGTCTCGAACTTCCAGAGGGCAATATCGATGGTGATACCACGCTCACGCTCGGCCTTGAGCTTGTCAAGAACCCAAGCGTACTTGAAGGACTTCTTGCCCAACTCTTCGGCTTCCTACAAAGACGTCGTTAGCATCGATATCGATAGGAAGAAAAAGCAATGTTAAACATGACATGAGGCTCGTTCGTTGCCTGGAGTGATGGCTCATGTTGACGTTGGTGGGGTGTGCAAATTTTGATGCCCAAGCGAGCGCCAAGCCACATCCCACCACAGACGCCAAAAAAAAAGAGGCCACATAATGGGTTGAAATGGGAGAAGGGAATGTAGAGCAAAACAGAGACTGCAATAGAAAGGGAGTCTTTACCTTCTCGAACTTCTCAATGGTACGCTGGTCGATACCACCGCACTTGTAGATCAAGTGACCTGTGATATTGAAGTCAGTTTCTGTGTGTTGTAGTGTGCCTGGCTGAAATCCCTGATGTCTGGCTTACCGGTGGTGGTGGATTTGCCGGAATCGACGTGGCCGATAACGACCAAGTTAATGTGTCCCTTGTCGTCCTTACTGCAGGATTGTTAGCTCTGGCATTCAGATATTTGGCAGGAGAGGCGGAAGAAGGACGTACCCCATGGTGACGGTGTTTTGTGTGGTTTTGAAGTCTTGTAGCTCTTAGGAAGATACTAGAAGAATTCAGCAGAACGCTCAGATACTACGGCCGAAATTGCGTAGAGGTGCTGCAGAAGCGAGTTAGTTATCTTGCTGAAGATGAAGGTGAAGATGGAGAGAGATGGAGAGAGAGGAAGAGTGTAGGGGAGAGGGAAGACGTACTGAAGCAGACGAAGGAGAGAAAGAAAAAAAGAAGAAGAGAAAAGAATTTTCTGTGTGAAGGCGACGAGCGAGGGGTCCTTTTGTATGGCGGGGCGAGGGGTGCGGACAGCCGAAAGAGGACTAGCGAGACGGCGCTAAGCCCAACTTGGCAGGCAGCGGAGGGGCAGTTTCACACCCCACCATGAAAACTCTGACGGCGCTTAAGATAAAGAAGGCGGAAAGTGACGATAGCGAGGGAGGAGACGGTGAAGAGCGGCGGCGAGGGCGGTGGGCCAGGAGGAAGAAGCCGAGGGATGGTTTTGAGCAAGATGATACTGGATATTGGCTATGTGACTACGGTACTACAGACATTGGTAGGCTAAAGTAGAATATAGAGTCGCACTGAACACTGGCGTGTGTGCGTGTGCGTGTGCGTGTGTGTGTGCGTTTGTGTTTGTGCGCAACTTTGCATCAAACCCCTGTAAGCCCTTTTTGATCAGCGCCTCCATGCCTTGGAGGGGTCAAGGTCAAAATGTGTCAAGTGTACGTGTCTGAGTGGGCAGCCCTGGTGGATAGTTTGAAGCCTCTTGGTGGTGTGGTAGTGACCCCTGTTGGCGGGATGAAGATTCTGGTGGGCGGAATCCAGGACAAGTTCCGCCTGCCTCTTGCCCAGCTAGCGCCGCGTGCTGGCAGCAAAACAAACGCTCAATTTTTTTTCATAGTGAGGAGAGAAATGGAAGCCGACGAGATCCGACCGTCGTCTAGTTCTCTCGCCATCGAGCGTCACAGGCAGAACACTATAGTCAATCAGCATGAATGTGAGTCATAGAAGAGATGCAGTGTAAGCAACACACCTTGTAAAAGGTCGTCATAGGCTCGTCTGCACTTCGGATCTGCAGCTGGAAAAAGAACGCACGATCTCCTTCGCAACCTTCAGCGGGGCATTGGGCTGCAGTGCAGATGTCAGCATACGTTGCTCCTTCATAGCAAAAATGTTAACAACGACATCGTACCAGGCATGCTCTCTGCGTTCTTCCACTCGTCTTTCCCACCCAGCACATCGGCCACTTCCTTGCGTTTCATCTCTTTGCGCTCAAAATACGTTCTGTCAAGGGCATACTGGTACGGACAGGTACGACATTCGAACCGGTTGACGCCCGCCGGGTATCGCGAGGTTGGGGGAGCTTTCGAGATAGTTAGTGCATTACTGCAGTTTGGACAGACTGGTGATGGGGTAAGGAGGTAAATGTTAGCTATTTCTATCATAAACAGATATTCATAGTCACATCTTGGGGGATACGTACAGGTGAGCGGCATCGTGATGGTCAGGCATTACCAAAATCCATCTACCATCGTCTCGTAGTCGGTAGAAGAACAAGAGAAAACAGCATCTGCTCAATCTTCAATTTGAAGCGCCAATTGACCAATAGACAATCGCCAAGCGGTTATCTGGACCTTGTCGCGGACCGGAATAATGAAGTACCGAAACCCTCAGTCGCACACTCACGTGAAAGTGAACTCTAACTGGCATTGACTTCAACCAATACCCATAGAGGAAATAAGTGAGTTGAAAAAACCGTTAAGTCCAAAAATTACGCGTGAAGAACCGTAAATTTCAGATTTCACCGTTATTCTACTCTATACTAACTACAAAATTCGAAATATACGCGAAGAACCGTAATTTTTGAGGTTTATTCAATTCACTTATTTCCTCTATGGTACTTTCCCACCTATCGCTAATCTTTTTCTTCGACATTCCATTCTACTCCTACGCCCGCCAGAACGCCGGCGGCAACATTCACCACGTCTGTTATATATGGCCGGACGGGCGTGCCCATCTTATGTGGCTATTATCTGTGGTAATCTGCTTTTGAGCACTAAATTTCGAAACCCAGTAGCTACCGTGGAGAGTATTTCTCCAGCTAAATGCTAGTGGTCTTGAGAGTGAGGGTGATAGTGACATGAACTGTCCCTGAGTGACTGATAAGAATAGATCTGCCTAAGGTTTGAGAGAATAATATAACGGTCGCGCTGACTGGCACGCCATTTTTGATGAGAAGAGCCTCCTGAGCTGCAACTGTGCCTTGCCGAAAGCCCGTACTTAAAAAGAAACTATATTCAAATCAATAGCCTGTGCATCCCTGCAGCTGATGTATGTATCGCAAACAGTAACTAAAGGTCGATTTCAGCTGATGTCAGGTCCAAACTTGTGGGGAGACTAATCAACTTACCCAAACTGCTAGCTAATTGATATAGCAATTCCCGTGATTTCTGGCAAAACCAGAGATAAGTGATTTTACTCCGTCCGTCATGGAATCAGTCTCTTTGATATTTTAAAACACAAGTGGAAATTATCGGTTGCCAAACTCCTACAAGAGTCAGGGTGTGGCATATAAACATACCTGACTCAGTGGAAACTAACAAAATTCAAGAAACAAGTGAAATTGAGATACAAACGCAATAGTTAGCTATTGTGTTATGAATAAAAGCACTGTTAGCTACGTTTTCCTTCAGGTACCATTATAACAGTATACAATTGACAATACGCTCAATCAAAGGTCGACAATCAGGGAAACGATCTAGACGTTTGACCAGGCATAGGCGGCGTTATCCTATGCTGGTGTGAGCGCGAGGCAGATGATAGGGAAAAAAATATAAAGTTCTAGGTTCCAAGGAAGTACCAGCACTCTGTTTCTTTGGGCGAAGGCGCCTACAATCTATAGCTGAATTGTGGCCACTAATTATTGAGATTGCTATGAATACGCCCCTAGAATACGCTTGGGAAATCTAACAAACAATTACCCAACGCAGATATTACGGCCATAACTATCTCCTTACAACTTCAAGGAGAGCCCGACGGCTGCCAACAAGTACCCACTCTCCGTTGCTGCGGCAGGTGCCCCACCCTATTCTCTAGAGCCCATATTTATTACCCATTTCTTATGAAACTCTTGCCTTACTCTTCACCGCAATCGAGTATTCTACCCGTTACTCCGTATTTTACTTTTCAACCCAAGCCTCGACTACGCTATAATAACTATGCCTAGATTAAGGTTAATCCTTAATCGAATTTAGGTTACGGAGATTCGCCGACTGCTTGACTACCTAAGTTATCCAATCGAAGCTTGTTTTTTACATAGCACGTTTGTCGTGACGACGTCACATAACTGCAGTGCGAGGTCAGACATGAGAGATTATCTCCCTGTATATATGCAGGTGTGGTCGATGAATTCTGTTGACCAACTGTGGGTACCAGTGAAATAAATTGACTGGGGCATGAGACCTTGGGAAGAAACTTTTGTCGAGTTGTTTCTGGTCCCAAAAACTAGTCGACGGGGATTTTGTTGTTTAATGTGCCAATGATTGGCTGTGTCCTATCTCAAATGGGCTCCAACTGTTGCCGAAGCCCAGTTTCGACTGGGATTCATAAGCTGCCAAAAGACTGCTGTCATCCGTGTTAGGCGGGGTAATCAGCTAACTGGACCGCTGCATACCTTCTGGCGTCTGCCCGACACATTATCACCATCTGCAATCACGATAACCTCATTTGAACCGTCGTCAGACAGGAATATTTGTCGACTTATAACACCACTCAACATGAAGGTTGCAATTGCAGGCTACGGCGACTTGACTCGCTACCTTTGTGAAGAGTTCGTCCAAGCTGGCCATGAACTCATCATTCTCACTCGGAGCTCTAAACCTCAGATTGAAAGCTGTGGCGTCTCCCAGGCCATTACAGACTATACTCTATTGTCTTTGAAAGCCCCTTTGGCCGACTGTGATGTCTTGATCTCAACAATTGGTGACATGTCGAACGCTTACACTAGCGTTCATCATACACTCATACAAGCCTGCCAGGAGAGCCCAAAGTGCAAACGCTTCATTCCTGCTGAGTTTGCAGTAAACATCGAATCTTACCCGGACGAGCCTGGTTTCTACTATGCTATACATGAACCTGTTCGTGAGACGCTGCGGAACCAGAAGGATCTAGAGTGGACTCTGGTGTGTATCGGCTGGCTAGCCGACTATTTTGTGCCGAGTAAAAACCGTTACATCAAAGATATTGACGAGTGCCACCCTGTTAATTGGAAAGCCAACAAAGCTGTGATACCAGGAACCGGGAATGAGCCAGTTGATTTCACGTGGGCAAGAGATGCTGCCAAAGGGCTTGCCTCGTTAATACAAGCACCGGCTGGCTCATGGGAACCCTATACCTTTATGTCAGGAGAGCGAAGCTGCTGGAATGATACGGTCGCGCTTATCAAGGAAAAATATCGCCCTAACATGCCAATTGAGCATGTCTCGCTTCATGCTACGGTAAATATGATCAAAGCAGCCAAAGATGAGGACACGCTAGTACTGGCCGACTATTACCTTCTATCAATTAGTCAGGCATGTGCAATTCCTCTGGACAAAGCTAAGGCACAAAAGGAGAAATTCTTTCCGACTGTTCACTTCCGGACTTTAAAAGAGGGTCTGGCTCAATTTGATGAGAAATCCGATTCCGTTATGTGACGGGCGTAAGGATGAGAACGCAGAATTTCTGTTTGGCACTAGAAAATAGAAATTATCTCCTTGCCCTGGTATTGTCTGCGGGCTAAGTAGTTAGTTACGATTACGTGTTGGTTTACTAGGAAAGCCAAATCAATGAAGATATGTTAGTTACCTACGTTGTTCCGCTCCTACACCTGACAGTTATGGTACCTGCTTAAATAACCATAACCCTTTTCTGTATGGGGATGACGTCATCTCACTTGATGTTTGGTTAACTCTTTAATGACTACGAGGGTGACATTATACTGCTCGCATTCTTTTCCTGCTCCTCAACACTGTTCTTTTCACATTAATGGACTATGATGAAATAAGATACTGTAATATATAGAGAATGTACCACCGAGCTTACGGGTTCTAGGAAGAGCGTCTCTCCGGTATCCTGAGTCCTTAAAAGCAAGCTTGTCTAATTGTAAATACTTACTTTGAGGCGGCCACCATCTGTGATAAAATATATTTGCTGACATCATGATTTACCTAGTATTTAAATAACTGTAAACATGTATATGTTTGGAACTTTTAATCGAGTAAACGAGACTTGCATTATTTTAGTCTATAAATCTATTCTACCTTCATTTTATTATTCATAGTCCGTCTTTTTGTCTTGTAGTATTGATTGAATCCAAATATTTACGTATGTATTCCTCGCCAATCACTGGGGCAGGATATGTATCCAGCCCAAAAACATGCTTGCCAACAGGGCTGCCCTTCAATAAGGCTCCAGCCGTCTCATCTGTATAGCCATCGAGAACGGTGGTGATGCGGGCCAATGGGCTCTTCGGATTGCGTGCTGCATATTCAAGGGCTTGACAATGCCACTGGCTAAAAGGAATGACTTCTAGTTTACCGCTGGCAGCACCCATAACCCCGAAGAAGGTATCAAAGCTAAGTGCATGTGGATTCACAAAGTCGTAATCTTCGCCAATGCGCCCCTGATCCTCAGTCATAATCATTGCAATAGTGTTGCATAGATAATCAACCGGGAGAACGCTGGATAGAGTGGTCTTCAAGGATGGAAAAGATCCCAAATCAAGGCTTCCCATAACAAGATTATTTAAAAAGTCGCCACGATCAAGACGGAAACGGCCATTAGCACCTGAAGCGGCGACAAATGGTAGTCGATAGGACGATGCTACTGCACCGCGGAAACGAGCTGCTACAATCATCCTCTCAGCAAGGTACTTTGAAGTACCATAGCCATACTCTCCATCAAGTTCAGTAAGACCATAGCCTAAGTGAATAGGCAGTGTGGAGATCGTTGATATAAAATGGACTGCCTTTCCTCGTCCATGAGAAGCAAGACGTAAGATTTCGTGAGTACCCAGAATATTGGGGCCAATATAGTCTTCCAATGGACGCATCCAGTCCACAAGAGCTCCTGAATGAAGTATGGCATCGACTACATTGGCCAGATTATCAAACACATCTTGGTGGAGGCCAAGTAGTGGTTGAGAGAGGTCACCGATGACAGGGCGAATCAGCGATGCGTACTCTGGTTTCCAGAGATTATATTCCCGTAGTGTTGCGCCCATGCGTTTTTGAGCCTGGTCGAGGCTATGGGAGCGCACAAGGCAATATACAGTTATACCTCTTCTGAGAAACTCATGAACCATGAATGCGCCAACAAACCCCGTTGGTCCTGTCACGAACACCGCCTTGGGAGCATTTAAACATGTGAGAGGGTGTTTTGTTATGTTTCCGAACTGGAAACTCGGATCCAGTACGCCTCTCTTAATAGCTGCCATATCGACATGAGGAGCAGCTCTTGGTGCTGAGCCGTTCGCCTTCATCCCACTATCAGGTTTAGCCTCGCCATTGGACTTAGATGCGCCATTAGTCTGGGGTACACCGTTGGAACTTCGTGCACCACTGGCGCCATTGGTACCATTGGACTTTAGCGTGCCATTAGAACTTGAGACACCATTGCCATTGGCGTGGCCATTGGTATTGGTGTGATCGTTTGCTTTGGTATGGCCGTTAGTGTGGCCGTTGGTGTTTGGTAAGGAAGATGCGCCAGCTTCAATATTGTCTTGCAAAAAGGATAGAATGAATTCGCTGAGTGACTTGAGATCTGGACGAAGAAGTGCGATGTTTGGTGGTAATGTCATACCAGTCAGCGTTGCTAGATGGTTGCGGACCAGGATAGCGGTTAGAGAGTCAATTCCCAGCTCCTTTAGGGGTTTTCTGGCGTCTATGTCATCCATTTCGGTATACCCTAATGCTTTAGCTATGGCTTTGCGAACAACCTGTAGCACAACACTCCCGTGCTGCTCTGGAGCTGACCTGGCCAGCATGTCTTGTAAATTCACGTCAGAATTTACAGATGATTTAACTTTCTGTTCACCCATAACTGAGCGTAAGAATGGAGGTATGCCGCCTTGTTCTTCATAATAACTCTTGAGCCGTTCAAGATCTAGAACTGCAGCTATGGTGAGTGCTTGTCCGCGTTGAATTGCTTGTTCAAACAACTTCAAACCATCCTCTGGCTCCAAGAAGCCCAATCCAAGCTGCGAGAGATGATTACGAGTCGTTGATACGAGAGTAGTTGCCATTCCATCTCCGCCCCAGACACCATAAGCTACCGAAGTAGCCGGCAAGCCCTGGGAACGACGTAGGTAGGCGAGAGCATCAATAAAAGAATTAGCAGCGGCGTAATTCGCAAGTCCGGGCAGGCCCATGATACCGGAAATAGACGAAAACATCATGAAGACGTCCAAATCCATGTCTTTGGTTAGACGATGCAGGTTCCAAAGGCCATCTACCTTGGGTGCAAATGTCGTGGCGCATTTCTCAGGAGTTAAAGATGACAAAACACCGGAATCAACCACTCCAGCTGCATGAATCACACCTCGTAGTGGCCTATCGGTAGTAAATATCTGCATGGCGGCTTTGAGGCTGCTAAGGTCTGCAACATCACCGCGAACTATGGTAATGTTGGCACCCAGTTTTGCGAGCTCGGCAACAAATGCATCAGTTCTAGCAGACTCCTTGCCATTCCGAGACAAAAGAACTAAATCGCGAACCCCATGGCAACTGACCAGCCTGCGGGACACACGGCCTCCGAGATCACCAAGGCCTCCAGTGACCAGCACCGCGCCATTCGTTCGAAGTAGTGGTTTTTCAGCGGGTGCGGAGACCAAGCTAGCGCGTTCCAAATGAGGCACAAGTAGTTGCCCCTTGCGGATAGAAACTTCTGCCTGGTTATCTACTGCCAGGGCCGTCCCAAGGGTGGTCAAGCTTGTCTCGTCATCCACGTCAATCAGCCTGAGATTCAACTCAGGGTGTTCGCTCCTAGTTGCCCGCATCAGACCCCACAGCGGCCCGGCCCCGATACCGACCGGCTGGTCGCTAGCACCCGCGCCAACCGCGTGCCGAGTAACCCAAACAATTGGCGCCGTAAATCCGAACTTGCTTGCGTTCTGTAGATGAGCTAGGGCTGCAGCAGTGAAGCTGTGCGCTTTTTGAACGACGTCGGCATCGGAATCCCAGAAAGCTAGTACGCCATTAAGCGGCTTGGCCTCTTCAAGATTGGCGATATGAACCAGTTGAACTCCTGAGCTTTCCAATGCGCTGTGCGCACTTTTCACCCACGTAGTTCCATCGGATAAAGCAAGAAGCCCCCAGGTGCCGTGAGGCTTGGCTTTGTCTGAGTGGACTTGATGCCAATTCATTTCAAACATCATATTTTCCACCCCGTTTACGACCCCTTGCGGCTCACCATTTTGTGCGATACCATTGAGCCAGCTGACCTTCTTTGTCGGCTGGTAAGGCACCCGCTGGAAGGCGTAAGTAGGGAGGTTAACTCTTTGACAGTCAAAAGGCTTGAAATATTCGGCCCAGTTAATTGGTACATGCCGCGTGTGTAACTCGTGCACGCTATTTTGGATAACCGAGACGTCATCCGTTCTTGGTTTAAGGGAAGGTAACCAAAGAGCCATGCTTATTTGAGAAGCATTCGAAAAACAGGCTGCACCCAGCCCACAAAGCGTCGAGCTAGGCCCTATCTCAAGGAAGATATTGGCTCCTTGTTGAGTAAGCTCGTGAAAGGCATCACTAAATCTTACAGCATGTCGGGCTTGTTTGACCCAATATTCCGCACATTGAAGTTCGCCGCTTGCAGCTAGTGAACCGGTCATGCTACTGATTATGGGTATCTTTGCTGGATTGAATTGAAGACCTTCGAGTGCAACTCTGAAGGCATCTAACATGCCATTCATATGACCTGAGTGGAAAGCGTGGCTAGTATCAAGCACTTTGGTCTTACGACCCATGTTGAAAACATGGGCTGATACAGTCTCAACTGCATCAGTATCTCCAGAGATAACAATTTGTGAAGGTGTGTTATAGCCTGCTATTTCAACCTTGTCTCTCTGGCTCAGTTCGTTGATAATTTCTTCAACCTCAAAGCTGCTGGCTTCTAGTGAAGCCATCTTCCCTTTACTGGGAAGAGCTTGCATCAAAGATCCGCGCATGGACACTAACCGGCAAGCATCAGATAAGCTCAAAATACCTGAAACATGAGCTGCTGCAATCTCTCCCACGCTGTGGCCAAGTAGAAAGTCGGGTTGTACGCCCCAGCTCTGCCACAAGTTCCAGAGAGAAACCTCAAGAGCGAACAGGGCAGCTTGGGTGAAATCGGTTCTGTCAAGTAATGAGGCGTGTGAACTTCCCGGCTGAGCCCACATTATATCGTGAAGTGGGAACTCCAATTCTGTGAACAAAGCTACAATTTCATCCAGAGTAGTCTTGAAAACAGGATAAACAGCATAGAGTTCCTTGCCCATCCCTAGCCGCTGGCTGCCTTGTCCGGCGAAGAGCATCCCTAACTTTGCCTTCCCGCTCTCATTCGCATTAAAAAGCTTATCTGAATTCGAGCTTATTGATGCCAGGGCTTCCAGCATTTGTGCTTTATCTCTCGCAACTGCTACCTGCCTGCGTTGAAAGTGTGTACGGCCAGTAGCCAAGGAGTAGGCAATGTCGGCGAGGCGATCATCTTTTCCATTACCACTATCAATATATAACCGGAGTTTTTCAGCCTGTGCTCTAAGGGCCGATTCACTGGTTCCAGAGAGCAAAAATGGTATAGTGCGGGGGACAGGAGCGGGTACAGCGCAACCATTGTTCTTGTGAACAGGCTTAGGAGGCTCTTCAATTACGACATGGGCATTGGTACCACCGATTCCAAATGCGCTTACACCAGCCCGGCGAAGCCTGCAATCCCTAGACGGCCATGGTTGACTAGCAAGAACCAACTCCATGTTGGCACTTTTCCAGTCAACTGACCTGGTGGGTTCGCTTATATGTAATGTTTTCGGTAGGGTATTATGTTGCATTGATAAAACTACTTTTAGCAAGCCGACAAGGCCGGCAGCAGCCTGGGTATGTCCAACGTTCGATTTCGCCGACCCTAGCCTCAGCGGGTCAGACCCCAAGCGTCCGTCGCCAAATATTTCAGCCAATGCAGTTGCTTCAATAGGGTCACCAAGTTTAGTGGCGGTACCATGAGCTTCAATATAGTCAACATCGCCAGGTTTCATCGCAGCTTGTGCTAGAGCTGCACGGATAAGCTTCACTTGGCCTGGGCTGTTAGGGACTGTTAGACCAGCACTGTAGCCACCGTGCATGACTGCGGTGCCACGCAATACAGCGTGAATGTTATCACCGTCACGCTGAGCATCAGACAGGCGCTTCAACACGACAGAAGTAGCGCCCTCGCTAAACCCCGTGCCATCTGTATCCTCAGAAAATGCCCTGCAGAGACCATCTGCAGAGAGACCACGGAGCTTGCTAAATTCAATGTGTATACCCGGGGTGAGCAGAAGGCTTACACCACCAACAAAAGCCATGTTGCACTCACCCTGCCGTAAAGCATTGCAGGCTAGGTGTGTGGCTACCAAAGACGAGGAGCATGCGGTATCAACTACTAGAGATGGACCTTCCAGACCAAGAGTATATGACAGACGGCCCGATATGGTGGCGCTGGCGCTTCCGGTAATTGAATATCCATTGAGGTCAGGCGGGATGGCATTCGTTGTTCCGTTGTTACTCACGCCAATGAACACACCTGTTGCACTCCCTCGCAATTGTTCCCTCGTATAGCCTGCTCGCTCAAAACTTTCCCACCCCAACTCCAGCATCAGATTTTGTGCTGGATCCATCGCCTGCGCCTCACGAGGGGAGATTCCGAAAAAAGGTGCATCGTATGAGTAAACAGAGTCCAGAAAGCCGCCTCTGGCGCAATACGATGTACCCTCGGTATCAGGATCTGAATTGTATAGCTTTTCAGCGTCCCAGCGATCCTTAGGCACGTCAATGATGGTATCTCCTCCCATCTGGAGAAGTTGCCAGAATTCCTCTGGAGTTGTCACGCCACCTGGCAATCGGCAGGCCATGGAGACTATTGCAATGTCCTCATTATTGCTAGTAAATCTATCGCTTACCGTATTAAGCTCCCGATTTGTTTCCATGCCAATACCGGTCAGATAAGCGGCCAATGCCTTGATCGTGTAATGCTCAAATAATTTAGGCGTGGGTATAGGCCGATGCAAAAGCCTCTCCAATATTGCTTGCATACGAATTATGCGCACGGAGTCACCACCAAGGTTGAAGAAGTTATCTTCTATGCCAAATCGGTCGTGTCCAAGAATATCGGACCAGATTGCCAAAAGCTGTTGCTCCAGCTCAGAAGTTGGTTGCTTCGAGGCCTGGCTTTGGATAGCCTCTAGTGGATTAGGAAGTGCTTTGCGGTTGACCTTTTCATTGGGTGACAACGGCAAGGCGTCCATTCGAACGAAAAATGCCGGCAGCATATACGCTGGAAGGCGTTCTGCCACCCATGGTCGTAGAATGGTATCAAGTGAAATATCGCTGGCCAGGGCCCGATCCAACACGCAGTAAGCCACCAGGCGATCATCATGGCTTATTACAACGGCTGCGGACACATTTGCATGGTCAAGAATCACCGCTTCGATGTCGCCAACGTCAATACGGTGGCCGCGGATCTTGACCACTCCATCAATGCGGCCAACGACTTGGAGCTTTCCAGGAGCGAGAAAACGGCCGAGGTCGCCGGTGCGGAAAAACAATCCGCCGTGGAACGGATTCGCGATGAAGCGCGCGCGTGTCAGGTCGGCGTTGTTGCGGTAGCCGTTCGAGACGCTGCCGCCGCCGATATATATTTCTCCTTCGCAGCCGATAGGCGCAGGAGACAGGTTGTCGTCGAGGACATAAATCCGTCCATTAACAACAGGCTTTCCAACGACGATATCGCCTTCTCCCACTCTCCCGACGCTCCCGTATGTCGTCTCTGAAGGTCCATACACGTTCCACACCGAATCAGCGGCGGCGAGTAGCCGGTCTGCCAGTTGGCGGGTGAGAGGTTCGCCTCCGCATATGATTTTGGACAGCCTCGGATCCCCTTTCCATCCCGACTCAAGGAGCATTGTCCAGGTCGCTGGGGTAGCTTGCAAAATAGTAACCCGATGCCGTCTCATTAACTCTAAGAGCTCTCGCGGATTTTTCACAGCGGTGGTATCTGCAATGACCATTGCGGTACCGGAAACAAGTGGGAGCAATAGCTCTAGGGCTGACATATCGAAGGATATTGTCGTTATGGCAAGCAATATATCCCGCTCATTGCAGCCTGGCTCATACTTCTGTAATGAGCTCAGGAAGTTGGCAGCTGCCCCATGGCTAATTTCAACACCCTTTGGCCTTCCGGTTGAACCAGATGTATAGATTACATATGACAAATCATGTGGTTGTATATCAGCTTCGAGATTGGTGGTATCGGTAACCGAGCTATCTCTTGCCTCGTCAACGCTCATACAGATATCTTTCCAGCTCGCCAAGCCCTTGCTCGGACTGCCACTCAAGAGGATGAGCTTAGGACCAGCATCGCTGACCATTTGATTAATGCGTTCCGCAGGAAATAATGGATCGATAGGCACATATGCAGCACCTAGCTTGAGAACAGCCAGGATGACCACAATAAGGTCGATGGACCGTGACACAGCTAGGCCGACCAAGTCGCCATGCTTTAAGCCTCGCTTTATGAGGCTTCGTGCGAGTACGTTTGCGGACTCATTGAGCTCAGAGAATGTTATCTTGGTCTCTCTATGAATTAGAGCTGTGTTTTTGGGGAAAGCTTCCACAATCTTCTCAAATAATCGGTCTAGTCGACCACCAAGTAAGGAAATGTCTTCGGCGGCATTGAAGTCGTGGACAAGGCTTCGGTAGTCTTGGTCTGAGAGAGAGTTTGTCTCTTCGTTGTTAAGCATCTCGGTAACTCAGAAAATAAAGCAAGTTTTATATAACAATTGTGTAGTTTCTAATTGTTGGTGAGTGGTATCTTTTGTGAGAATTTCTGATATTGATCATGGTGTAATTGACTAATATAGCTATCTGAGGACGGAATAGGGCGACGCGCACAAAACAGACGAGATGCTAACCCATGGCGTCCTTTCCCTTGACCGATTGGCTAATGGAATATCATTCCCGACGGGGCACACCGCATTTACGGCGGACCATGTTGCTGTGGCTAAACGGCATGTAGATGCTAAGCCCAAGTCCTGCTTTGATGAGACACTGGGACGCAGGACGGCGTAAATTCGGAGAGCGCCACGTTTTGTTATATCTGGATATCCATATCTCAAGCTTAACGCCCGGAAAAGATGATGTGCTCATGCTATCCACAATCCTGTGCTTTGCTTGAAATTGATACCCAATATCATCTCCTCCGTACACCTCATGCAACCACTCCTCAAGGAATATGATCCACCGGGTATAAATCCCGGAGCTTCTTACACAAAACGACCAAGGGCCCAAAGCCTGAAGTGCTCGTATAAACGGAGAAAGGGAGACCTGGCGTTATAGAGACGGAGCCCTGTACTTTTATCCATATGCTAGGCAGCTAGACTTGTACTCCATACTTCAGCAAGCCCAGATACCGAACCTCTGATGCATAATGTCAGTGATCAGCGAATCGCGACCGTACATGGATGTATATAATGCAGGGGCCTGTACTCCATAGCACACCTCAATTATGCAAAGTAAGCATTATGGGTTCCTCTTGTATACAACAACTTGCGAAGCTGATAAAGTTTACTCCTACGGGTGATACTCCATAGTCAGGGCACCTATCCAATCGGAAAAACCTTGTGAATACCCTAATTTCCTTTGAGTCTTAAAAATGGTAACGTTGCTGAGTACTCTATATCCACTCCATACGCAACACTCTTCCTATCGGTGGATTAGGTTTGCGACTCTCCCCTCCCACGGATCCCAAGTCCACTACGCGGAAATAAATATGGGTCGAATACTCGGTCGACTTTTTGTTAGCTCGAAACTGAGCTTCTCTGCACGATGGAAGTCGGCGATCGCTAAAAAATGGAGTAGTTAGTTAACTAGGCAAGTTTCAAACTTGCCTGCAGATTGTAACTTGGGCCTACAGTTCAACACCTCCACGTCACTAACTTCCATTCCTCACTGCTTACACTACCCGTTAGGGGCATGCGTATCTAAATACACATAATCAGTACATAGAAACCAACTAATTAGTTTCTACGGAGGACTCTGCGCATTCATTTAGGGAGGTAATTGCCCATATCTAGCTTGTTCTGTTCATGAGATGCATTGTTATGTTTTTGCTTCATTAATCATATTGATTGGGTATGAACAACCTTAGTTATTGCTTAGCAGGGATACAAACTCTGCAGGGATTAACTAGTGAAGACGGAATACTACGTATGTACCTAGATATATTTACATTCTTGTTGTACAAGGGATATTTATACCATAACGAGTAAAATTTAGACGAGAAAGTGCCTTTGATCCGTGCCAATCCGAGTGATTTTTCACGCGAAACGAAAATTACCCGGTATTGCAGGGCTCAAGTAGTTATATTTATCCCCTAGGTTGGCCCTAGCACATTTGCACAGCTTGGGAATCAATCACTCCTCTTTACCACTTTCCAAATTTCAATTTCGGATATCTCCCTCAAAGTTGAGTCTTAGATAGTTATCTTTGTTCAAGGCCACATTATTTCAAGTTAAAATGGACAAAAAGGACGCTACAGCTCGTTTGTTACCACCAATTGACGCCTCCTACCAGCCTGCAAGGGCGGTCACCAAAATACCGGCAACGTCTACTCTAGAGGAGATTCTAGAGATCCTAGAGCGGGATGGCGGAGTTATTCTAACCGATTTTGCTTCAAAAGAGACTATGGATAAGATCGATGTGGAACTGGAGCCTCATACGAAACCTATCGTTGCCAATGATTCATACGACGACTTTATTGGAAAAAAGACTCTCGTTATCCCCGGCCTGATTGCAAAGTCTGACACCCTTGCCAACATCCTTGATACCAATGAGACCATAGAGAAACTCCTCAAAGTGATTCTAGAAGAGAGATATCCAGCAGTTTTTGAAGGGCATACTGAGGAACTCGTCGTTGATCCGCTGCTGAGCATTGCCATGGGTTTCCATGTTGGCCAAGGCTCTCCTCGTCAGGCACTACACAGAGATGACATGATTTTCTCTAGCAAACACCACCCAAACATGAAGATTAATGAAGTAGACGGTTTTAGCTGCTTTATTGCGGGAAGCAAAATCACTCGCGAAAACGGAGGTACGATGGTTATCCTTGGTTCTCATAAGTGGGAGCATGATAGACGTGGCCGACCTGACGAGGTTTCTTTCCTTGGTAAGATCTATACATCACCACAGTCTGATTTGATTTATGGCTAATCTCATTTTAGAAATGGAGAGGGGTTCGGCTTTCATTTTCCTTAGCACTATGGCTCATGGCGCAGGATACAATACAATTCCGGGAGAGATTCGTAAGATTATGAATCTTGTCTTTTGCCGAGGGACCCTTCGTCAGGAGGAGAACCAATTTTTGTGTAATCCTCGAAGCAAGGTCCTGAAGATGAGCCCAAAGATGCAAACCCTACTCGGGTTCAAGAAGCCAGCGGGAACTTGGCTAGGAATGGTTGAAAATGACGACCCAGCGAAGGATCTCGCTGCCATTTACGAGAAGATATTGCAGTAATATAGATGATTTTACCGTGTAGATGGAGCGTATCTTCACCCCAGAATGAATGCATTTGCTTATTGAGAAGAGTATAATTGTATACCGTACTTCTGGCTCAATTTGACCTGATATTTATCTAGTTATCCCTTTATCTTGTTAGTTACGCTCAGGGAGTGGTTAAGCCGTACATTCGGCATTAGCTGAAATATTGCGGCGAAGGAAACGTCAAGCACGGTCAAGCCAAAGGGTGCACGAAGCGGTATCTCCACGAGGCAGGCCGGTATCGGAACAACCAACTAACTACTTCCGAGGAGACACATAAACGTTCTATCATGGGCCAAAACCAGTCAGCCATTTGACAGTGGCGCCACTCAATTTCAGCCAGCCACCAGGTAACTACCTAAGCTAACGACTCCGACGTCATTGCCGTTCCGTTATAATTAGTACGAGAAATGCAGGCTCGGAAGATAGATAAGATCGCCGGCCGAATCTCAAAATTGTCCTTGGAACCAGAGTAATGCAACCCTGCGTATCTTGCATAAACAGGGAGATGATCAGAGTTGGGGGTGGGTCGTTTTTGGTTCTCCAGACATGTTCCGCAACAACGCATGACAGAGTTAGAATTCTATTGAAATGCTGGCTAACTAACTACCTGGTCCTAACTACCTGGTCAATAAACATGAGAAGAAGATCCTGGCTAGATCAGCTCTTGCTTTTGCCCCACCTCGTCCGCTCAGCACTCGACTTTACCTTCCTAACTATGCCGTCATTCTTTTTAAATGTCGCGAGGGGTGGATCAGTATAACTTATCTACACTAGTTATATATCAGCTTTCATGAACCGACAGGCAAGGGGCTTCGCAGCTGCTATTGATGAAAGAATAGATGCTTATGAAACTGCCGGAAGTCTTCAAAGGATAACTAGCTTGGCAGAGCTAATTGCTTGAATAATCTGTTTCCTTGAATACTTGCAATTGATCTTTACCTCCTCCATCATGCACCTGGAATTTGAGAAGGCACACGATGTTCTCCTCGACGACGTTCGGGATACCATTAATCGTCGACCACCACAGTTCAGCACTTCTAAAAGACTGGCAAATCGATGGAATCACCGGTTGAGCTACGAGAGCCTATCACAAGGTGTATCGCCCCTAAAAAATTCCGTCAAGACTTCCACCCCATTAGTACCAATCCCACTCGGCGTGGGAAGGCCGGCCTCGCTATTCTATCCCTGGCAGTCCATGACTATGACTGGAACTAAAGAGTCGAACACAGCAAGCCCTATGACTTGCAAAATAGGGGAGGTGGCTTTCGATCTTTCATCTGCTTTAAACTATGCTGATCCTTCTGGGTCGACGGAGTTAGTGGCCTGTTTTCGGGAGAACACTCGTCTGATTCATAACCCCCCTTACCACGATTGGGATACAACTCTTACATGCGGGTCCACATCTGCTATTGATATAGTCTTGCGCATGTTCTGCAATAGGGGAGACTGGATCTTAACAGAGGCTTCTACATATACTGGCACGGTAATGGCATCGAAGGCTCATGGCCTTAAGATCCAAAGCATTGAGATGGATGAGGAGGGTCTCGTACCAGCGGATTTGGATTTCAAGCTCCGACACTGGGATATGTCGCGAGGTCGCAAGCCTTATGTTCTTTATACCATCCCATCTGGACACAATCCGACAGGTGTAACCCAATCGACAGCACGAAAGGCGGCAATCTATCAAGTTGCTGAGCGGTATGACTTACTTATCCTTGAGGATGATCCATACTTCTTCTTACGACTTGACGCATCCTCTTCATCACTGGATATCAACCCTCCTTATTCATCATTTGAAAAATTGCGAGCATCATTACCCTCATCATACCTTTCCCTTGATAAAGCTGGCCGAGTTATTCGTGTGGACTCTACCTCAAAGATACTGGCCCCTGGTCTTCGGTGTGGTTGGCTAACGGCCAGCAAACAAATAGTCGAAATATTCGAAAATTTTGCTGAGGTCGGGCCAGCACCTCCTGGCGGCCCATCCCAGGTCATGTTGTACAAGTTGCTTGTTGAGAGCTGGGGCCAAGAAGGCTTTGCAAATTGGCTGAATCATTTGTCTAGAGAGTATAAGTCAAGGAGAGACATCATGATTGCAGCATGCTCCCAGCATTTGCCCGCAGGTCTATGCGCATGGACAACGCCTACACATGGAATGTTCTTGTGGATTACAATTGATTTACGGAGACATCCTGACTACTCTGAAAAGCGAACGAGTCTTTCGCTTGACCTTGAGGAGAAAATCTACCAGCGGGCTGCAAATCATGGGGTAGCTGTTGCAAAAGGGAGCTGGTTCAATATCGAAACGTGTTTGGATAAGGTCTTTTTCAGAGTAACGTTCGTGTCCACTACTTGCCTGGATGAGCTTGAGTATGGAATTAAGCGACTTGGAGTGGCTGTGAGAGAAGAGTTTAGGCTTCCAAAAGCCTAATGTACAATCCATACACAGGATGGAGATCGACGATGCAATCTCGAGGTATATACGTACATAAGAACTTAGAATGGATAAGCATTATGGAGTTTCTTTGATTACTGTGTATTTAAGGAGCAGCTGGGTCCCTATAACGAGACGGCTATCTTTTAGTTAGACTTTTCATACAGAGCAAAATCTCGACACAAATGCTGTCTTCCTCGGTTAATTGTTTAGGCCGTGTATCGGGTATCTTGCCTGTATAACTCTGGACAAGGTGAGGGGAACCTTACAAAATACTCAAATTAAGGTTAACAGGAAAGTTAGAGTTACGGAAGTTAAGGTTTAATCTTATTTTAAGAAGATCCGTTAGTCAGTCTCGGAGGTTGAGCGAGTGGACGAAATCAGCAGTTCGGCTTGCTATATTAGTCTTCCGGAAATACCCGCTTCCCCTCTCTTCTTATCAGGATATGCAAGTAACTTTGGTGGAGTCTCCATCGCTTGGCAGGAGCAAGCTCATAATCAGCATATGGGGTTTTTTGAATGTTTTGGAATTACAACTAACGAGATACCACGTTGTGCTTATGAGGCATCGAACTCGTTAGTTACTGGATCTCTCATTATATAGCGAGTTATCAGCTCTAACCTCGTAGTTAATAAATTCGGCAAACTGGAAATGGGATATTCTCAGTACCATTTAGTTGCTATACTCCGTACTGATAATTAACTACTTAATTTTGCTGCTTTACTAAGCTTAGCTACAAACTACCATCAGCATTATTGCGCGGCGTGCTAGTTAGTTGTCCAAGGCTTCAATTCCCATAATCATTCAGCTTGCCTCATTATGGTTGTCGTCGCTGTCGCCGGAGGCACTGGTGGAGTTGGTCAGACCGTGTTGGATGCCATCGCAAAGTCAGGTAAACACAAAGCTATTGTGTTGTCAAGGAGTGTAAGAATGCCAGCGTTGTGTTTTAAGTACAGCAAATGACCCTTAAATTGTTACAGGGCGGAGCTACCGGTGCAGCAGACGAGCCAAGACGATATGCTATGGATTACGGCAATGTAGAACAGATGAAAAGCATCCTACAGGAAAACAATGTCGAAGTTATCGTGTCTGCTTTGCTTTTATCGGATGAAGAAGTTGCGAAGTCACAGATCAATTTGATTAGAGCTGCTGCCCAGTCAGGAACAGTGACCAAATTCATCCCTAGCGAGTACTATATCGACTTTCATGCTCCCATTCCGTAAGTTCTACATGATAAGCTCGTTAGAGCATTAGTGCTAACGCAAGACATATAGGGGATCTGACTTGTTCACCAATTTTCAAATTGAGGCTGAGGAAGAGCTTAAGAATCACCCGCAGTTGACTTGGACACTCATTAGGGTTGGAATCTTCCTCGACCATCTCACTATGCCATATAACCCGAAACCAACTTATATCACCCCATATTGGGTTTTTGTTGACATTGATCATGAGGAATGTGTCTTTCCTGGTGATGGCTCACAACCACTCGTCCTGACACATTCAACGGATCTTGCAGCGTATATCGAGCGTTTAGTAGGACTCCCAGCAGACGCCTGGCCACGTGAATCCCTGGTTGCATCAAACAAGCTTCAAGTTAAAGACCTCTTAGAACTGGTCAAGAAAACTACAGGTATGATATATGAAACTGTGGGACTTTTCATACACTTTTCCTAATACTATCAACAGGGAAGGACTTTAAAGTCACATACGATTCAATAGAATCAATTCACAAAGGCCAGATCACGCCTTTGACCTCTAACCGGCCTGTATTTGATGACCCGGTAAAAGGTAAATTGTTTCAAGAGGTTGAGACTCAAGTTATGCTTTCGATGTTGAGCGGCGCGCACGACTTGCCAGGGAAGAACCTTTCTGAACTCTTTCCAGAGGTTCAGGTGACCAATATTGAAGATTTTCTTAGAGCAGGCTGGGAATTGAAGCAAGGCCTTAAGCGGTAAAATATGTTCCTACTGTTAAGATTGAAATTGATTGGGCCTACGAAAGAAGACAAACCTTATCTGAAATAGTTATCGTGAATATTGAAAGATCAGGGAAGAAAAGATCAGCCAAGTATAACACTCAATTTCGACGGTTATCCTGAAGCAGGTTATTTCAAATTTCAATTAGCCGTGACACATGAAACGCTTAGCTGATGGCCATTATATTGATTGGTCCTACAGTAATTCCACCTCACTAGCATTTAAATTAGTTATAAGGTAAGTTTGCTCACAAAGAAAACGATTCGAGAACCAATGTATATTTATATTGATCTATTTACATCTCAATAACATGGTAATGTTTCTTTGCGTATAAAAACCAAAGTGAGGTAATGAAAATGGCAACTACCAAAAGAACTGGTGACACATAATTCATCTGGCTTGGAATAACTTCAGAATAAACAGGGAAACAGTAAAAAACAAGAGCTACCATACTCCATTCAAGCATAATTACGTTAGCTATCAACCCTAATTTAGGGTACCAAAAAGGCCCATGCTGAAATTTCGATCTTCCCCGCCAAAGAACTAGTATAGTTGGAATGCAATAGCTAGTATACTGCAGCAGGATTCCAGTTGCAATGAGCGAGTTGAATGCTAATTCGGAAGCAAGGTATAGGAAGCCAAACAATGCCGTACCAATCGCAGAGCCAATTAAGGACCAAATAGGGGTATAGAAGGGTTTTGGAAAGACCTTGCTAAAATAGCGATGTAAAGGAAAGCCGGACTCTCGACTAAGTGACCAAGCAAGTCGAGACTGCCAGGTCTGGATCGACCATACGGAGGCAAAAACAAGAAACAGGACTGGGACCCAGAGGCCAATGGCAGCAGCTTTACTGCCTGTGATATGGTGTAAGACGGTAAGTCCTGAATAATCTGGAGTATTGATAGGGCCAATATTAACTAGGACAGCCAAGATCATCAGAAGGCCGCTGCTGAATGCAATAACAATCGTCCAAATTAAAGCCTTTGGAATATTCGTGCTTGGGGATGGGATCTCTTCTGCAAGATGAGTAGCAACGTCGAGGCAAGAAAAACACCAATTGGATCCATTCAAGCCAATCAAAAAAGCTACACCATTTGGCCACCCGGATATATTTGTAACTTTGAAGAAGTCCTTAGCACTTGTGTGGGTTTTGGCAGTAGCAAACAAAGTGATGATAATAGCGCCAACAGACAGCACGTTCACAAGCAACAAGGCTTTCGATATTTTTGGCAGAATGTATTCAAAGCAGGCACCAAAACACGTCACAATATTGATAAGTTGGAACACCACAAAGCCCATCCACCGCTTATACACGAAGTTAGGGTTGATTAGGGTGACAATTGTAAAGGCGTTCACAGGCACAGCAAGATTTCCCGAGGCACCAATCGCGATAGCTGCAATCCAGCTGATCATTGCTGTAGCATAAGACAATCCTCTTCGGTATCTCTCCGGGGCCACTTTATATACCCAGATATACTGGCCACCAGGGTGGGGAATTGCAGATATTAGTTCAGATAGAGTCGTTGCTGTAGCCAGGCCGACTACTGCCATTGCCAGAAAGCCCCAAAAGACCACGGGCGACCCACCCATGGGAATACCCGTACCCAGAACAAGTAGTAGGCCAACTGCAGTGTTTGTGACTCCATAACCAATTCCAATAGCTGATAGCGTGGTGAATGGCTTTTGCGTCTGAACAAGGATGTCTCCCCCCTGTATCGGGCTCGAAGGATGGGAATCGACCTTTTCTGTGATCGCTCTCTTCTCGTTCTTCTCCTCGTGGTCTAACGACATGATTTGCGGGTTGGTGATGCCTGAATATAGTGACAACGATAATGCTGCACTATTCTATGCGAAACGGTGGAGATTGCGAACCATAGAAATGAAGTGACAGATACGTTTGTCCGGATAGGGACCCGGCGGGAGCTTCACCTGGCCCAAGAAGAACGATAACGGGTGAAAGGGAGCAAGATCTCACAAACCTGCACGAGGTGCCAGCTGCCGACTGCAGGACCTTTAGTAGTCAGCTACTCCGTACTACTGGGGCGTAAGATGCATTCTTGGAATAAACTTTACAAAGATTCCTTGGATAAGCATCTTCGAAACTCATCGGAAGAAGAATCCAGCAAAGCCTTGTAATGTCCAAATTTTTAGGCATGATCCGCGATACCTAAGGTTAAGTGACAGAAGTGTGGGAAACGTATTGGGGAGGCCTGTTGACCATGTTTCAAATGCCCATGGAAGGCTGATTGGAAGCGAAGAATTCTATCCGAGCTTGCAGCAAGCCATGGGACCACAAAACGTCGCCGTCGCTTGGATGTCGAAGCACAACGGAACAGATGATGCATGTCGATATCGGAACGGAGTCAGCCGTGCAGAGCATACAGAATATCTTATTGGTCTTTGGGGAGGGCTCACGAATCGAACATATCCCTGAGGGTGGACGACTCAAAAATAGGAAACGCCCGTTCGTTGGCCAAACACGATGACAAGGACTCGAAGGTGTCGTCACTCAGGGATCAATAGTTAATTAAGTTGAGGTGGTGAATGGAGCATACACGAATGTAAACTTAGAATCAGCCACCGGTACTACCCTTCCCTGTTCTAATTATCATGCAAAGAGTCGGAATGGAAAAGTACGATAGGTAACTATTGTCAACTGGGCTAGACTTACTTCATAGCATGTCGTGGGGAATATGGCCGACTTGCTTTGCATTGACAGTGGTTATAAAAGCCGGGTGTCTCGATAGGCAAAGCATACTCATAGAAGGTCGGATTTACAGTAAAAGGTTTGCGACCTTAACTACTTGAGTATTGCGAACGATATTGTGGCATTGATTGCGCTGCTGAGCTGTGTTTGATAAACCCGCCACAATGCCAGAGTTCCCGCCCCCGATCGACCCGTCCTATGTACCCTCGGTTTCGCTTACGAGGATTCCCGCAAACGCGCCGATTGACGACATCCTCGCCATCCTGGAGCGAGACGGCGGGCTTATTCTGACCGACCTAGTTTCAAGCCAAGATGTGGCTGCTATCAACAATGAGCTGGACCCTTACGTCGAGAAGGCCAGAGCCGAATCGCACGCTGCATATGACCTTATCCCCAAACAGACGATAATGGTCCCTGGCATTGTAGGGAAGTCGCCTACCATGGCAAAACTTGCTGAGAACGAGGTGATTGATAAACTGCGGACGAGAGTCTTGCAGAAAAAATGCACTGCCACCTGGGAAGACCGAACGGAGGAGTTTACAATCGACCCTTTATTAAACAGCAGTTTGACATATAATGTCAGCTATGGTGGCCCCCGTCAGAGGCTGCACAGAGATGACATGATCCATGGCATTTATCACCATGGTGGGGAGTACAACTTGTCAAACGAGACTATGCTTGGCTTCATGTTTGCGGGATGTAAAACCACTCGCGAAAATGGAGCAACGATGGCCATTCCTGGCTCCCATAAATGGAATCATACTCGGGTTCCTCGAACCGATGAAGTTTGCTTTGCCGGTGAGTTATTCCGCTCCTACGACTGTCTCGTGCAGACGATATAGGACATGCACATTGTATTTCACACCTGATGGAACGAACTTTCTAATACGAATGAAAAAAAAAATCTAGAGATGGAGCCCGGTTCTGCCTTTGTCTTCCTAGGTACTGTCTACCATGGCGCCGGGCACAATTCTGTTCCCGACCAGGTACGCAAGGTCTATGGTCTGTTCTTCATCTCGGGAACACTTCGACCAGAAGAGAACCAATTCTTAGCCATTCCTCGAAGCAAGGTACTGGGAATGAGCGATAAAATGCTGTCCCTGCTTGGGTATAAAAAGCCGGAGACATGGCTTGGTATTGTGAATAACGGCGACCCGGCAGAGAATCTCAAGGAGGTTCTCGAGATGGCTAACTCATAGCTTCTTTTTCCACTTTCTGGTATCGAGCTCCTGCTAGTCTATGACAACGGCAGGCTGGCGCTTGGAGATGGTCGGTTTTTCACAAGTCCAACAGTCCGTCTAGAATTTCAGCAATCACCTCTCACTGTATCCAAAACGTAGATAATCTCTTGTTTGGAATGATAAGCAGGCCCAAGGAGAAATGAAGCAGCTCGTCAGTGTACTCGGTGATGGCAACAAACTGTGCAGCGTCGTCGTTGTTTCTTTTGTTACACACAAAATCGCCTTTTCTTTCTCTCTCGCCAAAAACTCCAAAAACAAGAAGCACGTGATATATTATATAATGAGGTCACATGAGCAGTTTAAATGAAGTCTATTACTAATGGATTTGAACTCTGTGTGGTGCTTTGCAGGCATGAACTAAATATATGGAGGTTTCAGGTGAAGTAGAACGACCCCTAGACCGATACGCTGCAAGCCTTTGTATATCTTCTTGTTTTTTCCTTTCTTTTCTCTATTCAACATGTCTGATGACGAGGCAAGATGGAACCACGGCCTTTAAGGCTTCCTATCAGTGAACATGCGCGTTCCTTGGCTAACCTGGTGTATAGGGAGCCTCACCCCGCGAATTGGTCGTGGAAGCCTGCCGGCGCGACCAGCCCTACCTTATCGAGGAGATACAGGAGAAATCCTACAAGGATAAACCAGATGAGTTTGCAGACTTCATTAACGGAGTAACAGACTCCATGGGGAACCATGCGCTACACATATGCGCTACCTACGGGAGCTGTAAGACGTCTCTTCCCCCGCCTTAGCACCTGGAAGCCCTCCGTGCCGGTTAAAATCTTAGGATACCCCAGCTAATAGCGAAATATATATACAGATGATACAATGGACTGCCTATTAGACATATACCACTTTGAAGTCGACCCTACCAACCGCATCGATGGCGACACACCGCTCCACCTGGCCGTTCAGTACGGAAACGAAAAGGATATTAAGTTGGCCATGTCGATGCTGGAGATGATGCTTGAAGCGGGCTGTGATCCGCGGGTACGGAACAAGAAGGGCCAAAAGCCGGCAGATTGTGTGATGCCACAGCATGGTCAGATGAGAACTGCGTTGATGAAGGTGGAGTATATGATGCAAGAAGGGCAAGGAGTGGAGGGCCAGGGCCAGGATGACGACGATGACGGTTCTAGTGATGGGCCAAGTGACGACGAAGATGATGGCCAGAGGAAAAAGCATTAGCCTCTTAAGGAACAGGAGTTATGGTGTTGCTCTGCTGTGCTTTACCTTTTGCTGTGTTGGCATGATCTACCGTGTTTTCTCTCCTTACCATTATTTTTTCATTCTTTTCCTCGTTTTCCTATAGTGTATTGTTGGGAGGAACTGGTTCACAGAGGAGTGGATATACCTTAGACTATTCAAGCCATCATCTTTTGAAGCGTGATATATATGGGTATTTGAATCATGATATTTCCCATTTAGGCTCCGGGTATACATAGGTTGTAGATCCTAGCCCTGCTCATACATATCTGTCAATCAGACTCATCATCTCCCCTGCGGCCTCTTCTTTGCGGCGCCTCAGCCTCTGCATTTTCTGCCTCCGCAACGGTGTTCTCCTTATAGCGTAAGCTTCTTTTCAATCTTTTTTCGAACTGCTCGCTATCTTCTTCACTCCCTTGCGCAATGCCGAATACCTCTCTTGCCATCCCTGATACCCCGGACACGCCAACCTCTATCTTACCCCTTTGGCCAACGAAATATTCAATCGTCTCTTCTCCCGCATCTGTATCACGTACCTTGACCAGGTACCCTTCCTTGCATAGTCGAGCAAGTAACTTGTCCGTTCTATCAAGCGGTGTGTGGTTTTCCGCATTGACGCGGCGGAGGTGTCTATTCAGCCTGTCCTCTGATAACGATCCACCTGATAGCATGATCAAGGATATAATAAATGTGTATATTGCAATATATGAGCTTTCAGTAGAGGAATTAGGTGCCCTGGATGGCGGTAAGATTTCTGGAGTTCTATAAGCGGGAGGTAGAGTGGAGATGACAGTCCATGACTTCGACGTGCTCGACTTTTCCACACGTTGCGCCGCTTTAAAGCTATTAGTAAAACAACCCACTGCCAGAGAACGGAAACAATGTACACACTCACCTCTTCTCTGGCTAATTGTCACTTTGTCCTTGCTTGGCTGTTCAACCATCTGCATACCAAACACTTCCTTTAACGTCTTCTGGGCATCAAGAAAGACAAGCTTAAAGTGCCGCGCTCCACCATCACCTAGGACTTTGGCAGATATATCTGTTCGACGAATGGGCTGGCGTGAGTATTCGCTAGCTAAGGCCAGCCGGACCAGTTTCTTCACCATCACGTTCATCGACACGGACGTCTGCAGGTGTCCACCGGGATGGTATTCGTTTTCAGATTCGGGGGTGGCACTCCGTCGGTGTTGCGTGGCTCGCTGAGTCTGCGCGCGCGCGGGAGTATCATTATACTCGTCTTCCTCGTCACCATCCTCATCATCAGCCTAGCATCTCACGGCATTAGCTAGTTATTCGTCTGTCATAATCTAGTTGTGGGGTATGGGTGATTTTTAGCCTACCCTGCGTTTTCGAGGCATTCTGCTAGTACGTGATATGTTTATCTGAACGACCTAGGGTGTGAAAAGGCTCTTGTAGTTATACAGAGTAGCAGCATACTCCGTATATCTTATCAGAGATAGATGCTATTCCGTGTCTTGGACGTAAAAGCGCGAAATCAATTAAACGAAAAGAAAAACACGCGCGCTTCCCACCTGGGCAAACGCGGGGTCACGTGCTCAGCCTCAAGGATCGCCCAATTTCAAACGTCAAAACGTCAGGCGAAACATCTCAAAGAAACACAAGTTAAATGAAGACGGCTGCGAGAGACAGAGAGAGCCTTGGGGTAATCAGTTTACTCGCTATCGGCCACCGCCGCCTGTGACCTTAACACTGTGCTCAGGCGTGGAGAGGCATCTTGGGCCCGTGCGAATCTATACGATGTACTCCGTAACTACAAACAATTTACATCCATATGTCGGCAGGCGTGGGCCTCGGTAGGAGGTCAACCGCTTAATCTACCTGGTACCCAAGATGTTACCTCGCCTCCACAACCAAGCAGGATCAAGCTAATTGTGTGAGAACAGACAATGTGTTGCTCCCATCCGGCCAGATGCGATGAAAGTGCTATTTAGTGTGGTGTCTCGCTATTTCAAGCGGCTCGCTCCGATACCCGGTCTATTAACAGATGGACGATAAGGGTCTTAATCTGCGATGCGACCTCGCCCTTGCGGAGTAAGGGCCTCTATAATGCGGTCTACATATCCAAAGCCGGGGCTACGATGTTTCGCTTATCAAGCTTCGGAGTCTAATCGACCGTTTTTCCGTGGTCTATTTTAGCTGGCTCGTCCACTATTGCGTGTTTGATTTGATAGCCGTGTGAGGAAGCCTGGAGGACAAAGTTTTCATTGTTCGGGTCTGATAAGCGGGACTCCACCAGACAAGGCACACGACAGTTAGCTCGCGATTATTCCCTAGGTCGAGTTGCCTTGTCGAGTATTTATATATGCCGGGCGAGTCCCTCCGCATGGGTCGTCGCTGCAAATTTTCCCGGAGTCAACGGGATGAATAGCCATCTGCACTTGGTGCACATTTTCCACTCTCACACCCTGCTCAGGTTGTAACAAACCTGAACGCCGTCATGAAGAGCTGGAGTTCTCGCATTAACGATGCTGTGGCAAGGAGCATTGTTGGCCGCAGATTTCGGCTTGAGGGCTCCGGACATGTACGTTTTTCTTTCCCTTGACTGTGAAGGGGAAAGGGTTATTTGCTGGAACTGAATTGATGGAACTGACATGTTCTTTTTTCTTTCTACAGCGGCGTGAGCGGGTGGGAGCTCGGTTCCTGACAGAAGTCCGTGCTGGACTTACCACATTCTTTGCCATGGCATATATCATCTCGGTGCGTTCTGGGAGAATGCCAGCTCAGCTAGCTGTCGAAGCGTGAAAGGAGGTGTCGAGCTTACGTTCCCAAGGTCAATGCGACTATTCTAACAGATTCCGGCGGGCCCTGCGTCTGTACCGATACCAAAGACCCGACGTGCAAAAATGATATAGACTATAACCTATGTTTGAACGTTTTGAAGCGTGACCAGATCACGGCCACAGCGGCCATTTCTGCTCTCTCGTCGTTTTGCATGGGCCTCTTCTCGAACATGCCTATTGCTCTTGCCCCTGGAAGTACGTTCTTCTCATGAAGATTATATACAAACACAAAGGCTGAAAGAAAGGTGCTGACAATAATTGGTGTGATAGTGGGACTAAATGCATACTTCACGTATACTGTTGTTGGGTTCCACGGAACAGGGCCAGTAAGCTACGGCCTGGCCTTGACGGCAGTGTTCGTGGAAGGGTTTATCTTCGTTGCGTTATCACTGTTTGGAATGCGCCAGTGGCTAGCTCGAGCGATGCCGAAATGCATCAAGCTTGCCTCTGGTGTAGGAATAGGCCTATATCTCTGTTCGTCTCCTTGTCCCTGCCAGCGATAAGAAAAGAGGGGGAAAAAAGCGAAACACCCTGCTAACGATACCAGCACTCATCGGATTGACATATAGCGCGGGCATCGGAGCCATCACAGGCGACAGAGACACACCCGTCACCCTCGGAGGCTGCGTACCAAGCGAGATGGTAAACGGCGTGTGCCCCGGCGGAGCCAAGATGCGCAACCCTACGCTCTGGGTCGGGATATTCTGCGGCGGCATCCTAACCTGCATCCTGATGATGTACCGAGTCAAAGGCGCGATCATCGCAGGCATTCTGCTTGTATCCGTGATATCCTGGCCGCGTCCCACCAACGTGACGTACTTCCCTCACGACGCTCTGGGAGACGACGCATTCGCCTTCTTCAAGAAAGTAGTCACATTCCACAAGATCGAAAGCACCCTTGTCCAACAGGACTGGGACCTCAGCAAAGCAGGCAGCCAGTTCGGGCTGGCGCTACTTACCTTTCTGTACGTCGATATCCTCGACGCTACGGGGACGATGTATTCCATGGCACGGTTCTGTGGGGCCATCGACGAACGAACACAGGACTTCGAAGGGTCCGCGATGGCATATACGGTTGACGCACTGAGTATTTCCATCGGCTCTCTGTTCGGTTCGTCGCCCGTCACTGCCTTCGTGGAGTCGGGCGCCGGTATCTCTGAGGGAGGCAAGACGGGCCTTACAGCCATGACGACGGGGGTATGTTTCTTTGTATCTATTTTCTTTTCGCCTATCTTCGCTTCGATACCGCCCTGGGCGACGGGGTGCACGCTTATACTGGTTGGATGCATGATGGTGCGAGTGGCTTCTGATATCAACTGGCGGTACATGGGTGACGCAATACCTGCGTTTGTGTGCCTTGCTATCATGCCGTTTACGTATTCGATTGCGTACGGCCTTATAGCGGGCATACTGACGTATGCGTTACTCAACACGCTTGTGAAGGTTGTCGAGGTGCTGTCTGGTGGCAAGATGGTGCCTGAGAATAAGGAGTTTAAGGACCCCTGGACGTATAAGGTTCCCGGGGGCGTGTTGCCTGGCTGGATGCGGCGGCTGGTCAGGGGTAAGAGGGACTTTTGGCGAGAGGACGAGGATGGGCTTGACGGGGAGGCTGCGGCTGCGGCGGCGGCTGGGGCTGAGGTTAAGCTTGATGGAGTGGTGATGGGCGGGATGGAGCAGAAGAAGGCGGCCTTGTCTGCTTCGGAGGAGTTTGATAAGATGTCATGATTTATCGTCTTTGGATTCTTTTGCTTTGGCTAGCTGTATGTATGTTGGGAGTCTACTATACTACTATAACTACTATAACTACTATTTAACTAGGGTGAAGTGCAGATTAAGTCTACAGTCGGATACATTTTAGAAAGACAGGAGACGGATAACAAGAAGGTATCAATGGCACTTGAACAAGATCGCGATGGGGGAAGCAGTAACAAGGGGAGTAAAAGTAAAAACTGGCTCGGCTGGTTTACATATCAAGACTGAGACCGAGGGTGGTATTGATCGATTCGCTGCAGTAGAGGAAGAGTAGAGGAAAAGTAGAGAGAGTGCGTGCGTGGGCAAGGTAAGATACATGGTCGTCAAGTAAGAAGTAGGAGACAGTGAAAGTAACGTATGGAAAGGCTATGGGCAAGAAGAGACATGAGAGGGTAAGAGGGCGACAACGACAAGACGGTACTACCTGGCTCTGGGCTTCCTCAAGCTCTTGACGCGGTGATGAAGCCCGAGGTAGGCTTGGACTCTCTGTCCTCTGCAGTGGGACTGTTCATGCCATCGCTGCTGTCTTTGCGCTCTGGGCGGGCCGCGAGGCTGCTCATGGCCCGGGGTCGACCTCCCTGCCCGTCGTCACTGTCGACGAGTCTGTGGTTCTGAATC